AGAAATATAGTTATGTCTCTTAGTTTAAAAGTGCTTATAGCTGGGGGCATGGTGGCCCATGCCTATAATCCCAGCACTAGGGAGGCTGAGGCAGGAGTACTGTTGTGAGTTCAAGGCTAGCCTGGGCTACAAAGTAAGCTCAAGGCCAGCCTGAACTGCATAGTGAGACCCTGTCTCAAAAAAAAAAAAAAAAGTAATGGAAAGCTAGGTGTGGTGGCACAGGTTTGTAATCCCAGCACTTAGGAGGCTGAGGCAGGAGAATTGTAAGTTTGAGCTCAGCCTTGGCAATTTACCAAGAACTTACCTAAAAAAAAAAAAAAAAAACATTTTAAAAGGGCAAGCCCCCTCAAAATAGGAATATAATAGCAGGATTCATCAGGTTGATCCAAAATGAGAGGCCTCAGGAGAGAAAGACAAAACAAAGACTATTTTTTGTTTTTGTTTTTTTTTGGTACCAAGAATCAAACTCATGACCTCTTGCTTTCCAAACAGGTGCTGTGCTGCTGAGCTATATCCCCAGCCCTTTATTTTGTTGTTTGAGACAGGGTCTCGTTATGTAGTTCAGACTGGCCTTGGACTTACTATGTAGCCCACTGGCCTTAAACTTGAAGCAGTCCTCCTGCCTCAGCCTCCCTAGTGCTTGGATTACAGGTGTGCTGTCTGCACTGGTAAGTTCAAGAGCCACTCCATCTTCCTCCCTCTCACATTTGCTAGCAACCCTATGTTTGGGCAGGACCCTTGCTCCCAAACACGCTAGGGGAGGAGCTGTCTTTCTGTGGCATTGGCATGGTTTTCAGTTCATGGAGTGAATCACAGGCCCTCACATGGAGTGAGACACAGGCCCTTGGCTCAGGATTTCCTGGTGCTTCCTGCCTGGGAGAGCAGAGTGCTCTGCAAAGCCGTGGCCCACCATCCCCTGACGTCAACTCTGCTCCCAAAGAATGGGTTTCCTTTTCCGTTTGGGAAGACATTGTGTCTGTCACCCGTCCTATCGCCCCATCTTTCTCAACCTGGCATCTCCTGTTTGGGAAAGAGAGAGAGGGGGGACTAACGAGAAGGTGGTGGGTGGGGCAGGAGGGAGAGCAGCACTTGGAAGGTGGGCCTCCCAGTCACCAGGTCGCAGAGGCTACGTAGGCCTGCTTGTCTGGGTCCTCAGAATGTGCATCCAGAGACCCCATCAGGAGTGTAGGGCCTGCCTGGGACTGGAAGCCCTCCGTGCAGCTGTGGGAGGCAGAGACAGGAATGTTCCAGGGCAGGCCCCCTCCGCCCCCTGATTTATGTGTGTCTTGACTCTTGTTCTTGCCATCTAGCTCAGATGGGACCTCCTGGCAAAAAGAATGGAGGTTGTGGTGGCGCACACCTGTAATCCCAGTGCTCAGAAGAGTGAGGCAGGACGATCACCATGAGTTCAAGGCCAGCCCGAGCTACATAATGAGACCCTGTCTCAAACAAGAACAAAAGAATGCATGTTCTGTCATCGTGTAAGTGTAAGCATTTAAAAATGTTCAGCTTCACCGGGCGTGGTGGTGCATGCCTGTAATCCCAGCACTCAGAAGGCTGAGGCAGGAGAATCATTGCAAGTTCGAGGTCAGCCTGGGCTACAAAGTGAGCTCAAGGCCAGCCTGAACTGCATAGTGAGACCCTGTCTCAAAAAGGCCAAAAAGAAAAAAAAAAAAAGTTCAGCCTCTGGAAGTCATTATTTAAATTTTGGCAACCTCTAATGTGTGTGTCCTCAGACAAGCCGAGGGTTACCTTGCTTTGGTTGTAGCTCTGCCTGTTTTAGAGTAACCTTAAAGACTAGAGGCTGATGGTGTCACAGGGCCTGAGTCATTCCTTGCTTTTTGGGTTTTGTTCTGTTCAGTTCTGTTTCGTTTGAGATTGGGTCTCACTACGCAGCCCAGGCTGCCTTTGAACTTGCAGCAATTCTCCTGGCTCAGCCTCTTGAGTGTTGGAGTTGCAGGAATGTGCTGCTACACTGGGGGCTGGTCCTTGTTGTTTGTCCTTAATGTAAATACTTATTGATTTAACTTACCATGCTGTCAGCATTGCTGTCATTATAGTTTAGTATAGGTTGGAAATTCCCAGGGGGATGTTGCTCCCTTCACGCAGCAACAAATCACAGGCAAAAAGAAGCTTCCAGCTCTGCTCAGCATGATCAGGGTGCGCTGAGGGGCCACGTGGTGCTCAACATGCAGGGTGACAGCGCACCCATTCAAGAGAGGTTTACTCTGCAGTTCCAGGAGCTGGCCACTGTGCGGAACTGGAACATGCCACGACGGTCTCATTTCAGTTACTGGAAGTTAGGAAATTCAATGATTCACCATTTCTAACTAGGAAGAGTTGAATCAAATTCCACTCAGTATTTGTAAAGCTGTATAAACTTAAAATATGCAGTTCAGGTTGGCCTTGAACTCACTATGTAGCCCAGGCTGTCCTCAAACTCATGGTGATCCTCCTGCATCAGCCTCCAAAGTGCCTGGATTACAAGTGTGTGCCACCACACTTGGCTACTTAAAAAGAAAATTTAAAACTAATTTAAAATATTTGTCTGTTCTAGACAATTTGGAAACTCCTAAATAACATCAAATAATCAATGTTAACCGGGTGTTGTGGTATACATTTGTAATCTCAGTAGTAGGAGTTTGAGGCAAAAGGATCACAAGTTCTAGGCCAGCTGGGCAATTTACCAGAACCTCTCTCAAAATAAAAAAATAAAAAAGGGCTGGGGGAATGTATCTTGGCTGTAGACTGAATTCTCTGGGTCCAATCTCAGTATAAAAAAAAAAAAAAGAAAGAAAGAAAAGAAAAGAGTGCTATATTGCAGTTTGTACTTATTTTAATTTTTTTTCATTTTGGTTTTTTTGAGACAGAGTCTTTATGTAGTTTAGACTGACTTTGAACTCACTATGTAGCCCAGGCTGTTCCTGAACTCACAGCAATCCTACTGCTCAACCTCCTGAGTGCTGGGATTATGGATGTATGCCACCCTGCTGGGATACTCACTCTAATTTTGTTTTGTTTTGTTGTGTTTTTCTAGACAGGGTTTCACTATGAAGTTCAGGCTGGCCTTGAACTTACTTTGTAGTACAGGCTGGCCTTGAATTTGAGGTAATCCTCCTGCCTCATCCTCCCCAGTCCTGGGATTACAGGGATGTGCCACCACGCCTGGCTACTCACTCCAATTTTTAACAAAAATGAGATAATCTCTACACTATTCTTTATTTTTTAATTTTTTATTTATTTTTGGTCTTTTTTTTTGAGACAAGGTCTTGCTATGCAGTTCAGGCTGGCCTTGAACTCACTTTGTAGCCCAGGCTAATCTCGAACTCGGAACAATCCCCCTGCTTCAGCCTCCTGAGTGCTAGGATTACAGGCGTGCATCACCATGCCTGGCTACACTATTCTTTAGTAATTTGTCTGTATGTGTGCATGTGTGTGTTTGTATGTGTGTGTGTGTGTTACTGGGAATTGAAATCAGGGCCTTTACCTGGGCTGCATTCCAGCCCTTTTTTTTTTTTTTTTTTTTGGTACTGGGAATTGAACTCAGGACCTTGCTCTTGCCAGACAGTCGCTTGTTCCAGTCCTTTTTATTTTTAAATTTTTTTGTTTTTTTTGAGACAAGGTCTTGCTATGTAGTCTAGGCTGGCCTCAAACTCATGGCAGTTCTCCTGTCTCAGTCTCCGGAGTGCTGGGATTACAGGCATGCACCACCATGCCTGGCTTTATTTTCTATTTTGAGACAGGGTCTTTACTGAGTTGCCCAGGTTAGGCTTGAATTTGCAATTTTCCTGCAGAGTGCTGGGATTACAGGTGTACACCACAGTGTCCTTTAAAAACAAAACAAAAAACGGTGTCTCACTATGTAGTCCAGGCTGAATTTGAACTTGGGATCCTCCTGCCTTAATCTCCAGAGTGTTGGGATTACAAGCATATACCATGGCACTGGCTAGTAACTTAACTTTTATATGCAGTGTCATAAAACATTCTTCTAGAACATCATTTTCTGCGAAAGTGTAAATTCCTAATCTGTTGATATTGTTTACTTAACCAGCTCCTCTATGGAGTTGCTTCCTTTTTTTTTTTTTTTGGTTTTTCTCCGGTACCGGAACCGAACTCACGACCTTGCGCTTGCCAGGCAGGCGCTTTGCCACTGAGCTAAATCCCCAGCCCCTTGCTTCCATTTTTGATATCATGAAAAGTGCTGACATGAACATTCTTGTAGGATGTGTAATTAATTTCCCTGGGATAATTTGGTGGAATTAGGAATGTTGTTTTCAGTGTGACCATATCATTTAAACCTCACAACACCCCTGGGAGGGGTAGGGTATGATTATATTTTACAGCTTTGCCAGTTTCCAAGTCCTAGCCTATGTGGGCCAGCCAGGATACAGAGCAAAGTTCACCTCTCCTTCCCTTCAGAATACAGCAAGGTTTTCCCCTCCCCTCTTCCTTTCCCACCCCTCCCTTTTTCTTTGTCCATGGGATCAGGGCCTCCTGCGTGCTAGGCAAGTCCTCTACTACTGAGCTACATCCCAGGCTCTGCCCTTTTAAAAAGTGTTTTTGGTTTATAGGCACGTGTTTCTCCAGCTTATTGGACATAGAACTGTGCATGCCAAGGGACGAGGGCCGGTAGTGTATAGGGCGCAAGATGTGTCTTTCCTCTCACAGAGATATGTTGAGGCTGCCCTGTGCCTTAGAGCTGGTGTCGCAGCTAATAGGTGAAAAATGCATCCCACTCCAAGCCTGGCGAGGACTATCCATGGATCTGCGCAGGCTGGTGGTCAGCGATCACCAAGTTACATGGCTCTGTACAGGTCTACCACCCTGAGGAGGTTACACAAGCCTAACACAACCCATCAAGACCAGCTTGCGACTGTGACGAGTGGGGCAGCCCCGTGGCACGAGGACTCAGAGCGCAATCATCCTCCCTTGGGGCCGCCAAGCCTCGCCTAGGTGTCTTCAGAGGGGAACCTAAGCTTAGATGAAGGTAAGAAGTCGGGACTCGCTCCCGCCGCCTGGACTCCCGCCGCCCGGACTCCCGCGCGTGCGCACTGCCGCTGTGTCCGCGCTAGTGGACTCAATAAAGTTCGCGCGCGCCGGAAGCGGAAGCGGCGAGTCTCCATGGCGGCGGCGGCGGCGGCGGGGCCGGTGTTTTGGAGGCGGCTGCTGGGCCTCCTACCTGGTCGACCCGGACTGGCCGCACTGTTGGGGCGCCTGTCCGACCGCTTCAGTAGGAACCGGGACCGCCGGCGCAGGAGGTGAGATCGGTGGCTGGGCTGGGGACCACCCGACTCGCGCCCCGGCGCCTTGGCGGCTCAGGCTTCGCTGCTGCCTGCCCAAGGGAAGTGGGCGCCCCGAGCGCTGCTGTCAACCGGGCCAGCCTAGGGACCCCCGCGGAGTCAGGCCAGTCCTTTTTTCCCTCCCCACCGCTCTTGGGAGCAAGCTCCGGCCACTGTCCGCTGGGTGCTGTGAAAGAGGGACTGGGGAGTCCATTGGGGGCGTCGGCGGAGCTCCTGGGGCTAAAATGCATTTCCTGCCTTCGGCCCCAAGATATGAGTCCGGGAGAGTCCTGACACAAGAGGCACTGTTTGGGTCTAGAGACGTCTTTTCCTTAAGTAATCCTGCCGGTGAGGTGACTTGGCGGGAGTGAATCAGCCCTGCTCGGATTGTGTGCAGGCAGCGTTTCTCACATCCTGCTGGAGCGGGTTGTGAAGCAATCCTGAGTCAGTAACACTCAGGCATGGGAAGAGGAACCACTCGAAAACCTTTTTACGTTTTTCAAAGGGCCTGTGTTCTGGAAAAGTACTGAAGTGAGTTATGTAAATGATGAAGTAGGCGTTGAAGCAGTTTGATCAGGCAGTGGTCTTTTAAATACTTGTCAAGAACAAGCTTACCTAAGAGGTCTTCTGCTATAGCTAATATTAAGGTGGAGAGGAATTGTCTGTGTGCAAGTACTTTTCTTATTGGAGAGATTTGACCCTTACACTTGATTCTTTAAAAAAAAAAAAAAGGCCTTGAAATTGCATCCCTTAGTTGAGGTTGCATTATTTTAGATTTGTTTTTTTCTATGCTGGGAATTGAACCCACGACCTCCAGTTGCTAGCGAAGCACTGTATCACTCAGCTATACCCTAGCTCTTGTTTTAGATTTTTCTATCTGTGATCCTTGGGTGAGATTTGATCTCCTGGTCTTTATTACAGAGATCTGGAGTTCAGTCGTGTGCTGACTGTAGGTATAGAAAGGACCTTGCTCATATGGAGTATCAGTGGAAGATTTTCAGCAGAAACTCAAGTTTGATTTAGGGGAACTTTTAGGTAATAGAGAGTCAAGGCAGGGAGACGGGCATGGTGGTGCACACCCGTGATCCCAGAACTCAGAAGGCTGAGGCAGGAGGATGGTTGCAAGTTCGAGACCAGCTTGGGCTTCAGAGTGAGCTCAAGGCCAGCTTGAACTGCATGGCCAGACCCTGTCTCAAAAAGACAGGGAAGAAAAGAAAGGCGGAAACTCTTAGAAACCTATTGGTCAGAAAGGCTTATTTACACACTGGTGAACCCAGTGGGAGTGTAGATGAGGTGGCTTCTTCATTTTCTGTAACTGAGGCTTATCTAACGACCTGTTCATTCCAGTGGGTAGGGCAGTCAGGTGACGTCTGTGTCCTGGAATCACACCATTGAGAAATTTGGTTTACAGTTTCATGAAATGTACTACATTTAAAGATGAGATGTTTAGGCCATTTTATTATTTTCCTCGTTGTGTTTAACCTATGGAAAACACATTACTAATCATTATTTAATCTTGAAATTGATTCTTCAAGGATGGTGGGGGCATTCTCAAATTATTATTTTTTTAAAAATTTGTGTCTGGCTGAGCGTGGTGGTGTATACCTGTGATCCCAACACTCAGAAGGCCGAGGTAGGAGGATCATTGCGAGTTCGAGACTAGCCTGGGCTACAAAGTGATCTCAAGGCCACCCTGAACTGCAGAGTGAGACCCTGTCTCAAAAAAGACCAAAAAAAAAAAAAAAAAAAAAAATTGTGTCTGTCAGAAGGATCACCATCAGTTCAAGGCGGCCTGGGTTACATAGTGAGTTCAAGGCCAGCCTGAAATACATAGTGAGACTTATCCTAAAAAACCAAAAAGAAAAGCATATATGTTTGTAATATATAATAATTATATTCATCTTGGGGAATTGGTATACATATTGTATCTTAATCATTTTTTACTTCCCCTCCCAACTCATTCCATATCCATCCACAATTTTTGTTTTTGTTTTTTGAGCCAGGATCTCATTGTATAGTTCAGGCTGCCCCTGAACTCGCTGTGTAGCCCAGGCTGGCTTTGAATGTGTGGCAATCTTCCTGCCTCAGCCTCCCGAGGGCTGGACTTGCGCCACCACACCTGGCTTTTTTGTTTGTTTGTTTTTTGAGACAGGGTCTCCCAATGTAGTCCAGCCTGGCATTGAACTCATGGCGATCCTCCTGCCTCAACCTCCCTAGTGCTGAGATAACAGGTGTGTGGCAGCACACCTAGCTGAGAGCTGTTTCTCTGAATCAATTCAGCTCAGCAAATTCAGTTTCTTATTTAATTCTTTGTTTTTTTGAGGCAAGGCCTCACTGTGTAGCCCAGGCTGGCCTTGAACTCGCAGCGATCCTCCTGCCTCAGCCTCTGAGTACTGGAATTTTAGGCGTGTGCTGGTTTCTGGTTCTTTGTGACCTTGGTGGAGTTATTCATGTCTGTGACCACTCACCCTCTGTTGGTTGCTTTCATTTCTTCTCCATTGTTCTGCTGCACCTCCCAATTCCTCATTCCCAGAACGATGTGGTTTCTTGTAACTCTCTGATCACTGATTCATTGATAGTAGTTCTCTGTAGTCATGAGCTTAAGTTATTTTAGATTTCAGCTTGCCAATCTGACTCAACTCTTGAAGGGGCTGGTGAATCCTTGTGGCTATCAAGGGGAACGGTTCTTTTACTGCTGTGGTTTCCTTTCAGGCTTAGCGATGGCCATAGAGACTGACTATTCTACTTAAAATCATTTCTAATTAGTGATCTTGAAATACTGCTGTTTCCTTTTAAGCAAGCATCTGACTCACTGGCATCAGGGAGCATTGGATAATTGATTTATTCATGGTGTGTGGAGCACTGCTGTGTCAGGCCCTGGGGAAGCAAAGATAGAGACACAGCCCTGGCTTCAGGATGCTGAGACCCATGAACAGGCAGTTACAGGAAATAAAAGGAAAGGTGAATGGTGGCATCTAGGAGAGGCACTCAGAGGTTAGGGGATGCTTCCTGGTTATATAACTGAGTTGTTTTGAAGAGTAGGCAAAGGAGAGAAAGGGGAGAGTATACTGAAGGAGGGGGTGATGTGAACATCCGTGGTGGGCATTTCTAAGACCCCACATGCACTCAAACCACTTCTAGGACCTGATGGTGGAATGAAGTAGGGAAAGAGGAGGTAGGAGCAAGTCAGCCTCTGGGCCCGAGACCCAGGAAGGCAAGTTCTAGATTGCAGGTATGATTGTTTCTTTTCTTTTTCTTCTGTTATCTATTTCTTCTCTCTTCTCTCTTCTTTTTTTCCCTCCCCTCCTTTTCCCTCCCCAGCCCTCCTTGTCCCTCCTTGCTGCTGTTTCTCCTTCTTCTTCATCCTTTCTTCTTCCTACTCCTTCTCACTCGCTCGCTCTTTTTTTTTTTGGTCTTTTTGAGACAGGGTTTCGCTATGTAGTCCGGGCTGGCCTTGAACTTACTTTGTCTCCCAGGCTGGCCTCGAACCTCGCATCAGTCCTCTTGCCTCAGCCTCCCAAGTGCTGGGATTACAGGCATGCGCCACCACACCCAGCTGTTCTTCATTTTTTGGTACTGAGTTTTCCTAAATTGCCCTTGCTGGCCTTGGACTCACGATCCTCGTTGCCTTAGCCTCCTGAGTTGCTGGGATTGTAGGCTCACACCACCACTCTGGTCTTCCATGTATGATTTCCTTTGCTAATAATTCAGACCTGACATGGTGGGGCCCTTTAAGAAGTCTAGGGTGTGGGAATGGAAAAGAGGGTTGGACTGCAGTCAGCATGCCTTGGCGGGTGGTGCCAAGGAGGTAAGGATGTTTCTGCCTTAGTGACTGTGTGGAAACAGAGTAAGAAAAAGCCCTGGGTTTGGGGGAATGACCATAGGCTTGGAGATGATGATTAGTATCCAGGTGGCTCGAGGTGGAGGTGGTCAGTGTGCAGTGGACTGTGGGAGAGCTGGAACTCAGGAGAGGGAGGCAGAAGCCTCTAGAGATTTTGTTTGGAGTTATGGCTACACAGATGGGCTTCTTATTTGGAGTAGATGAGGCCTGCTGGGAAGTGAGTCAGGAGGGCATTTGTTCCTAATTTTGAACTTGCCTGTCATACAAGGAAATACTTTATCTGTGGCCTACAATTTTTTTTCCCCTTTTAAACTGTTTTCAGTTTGAGGTATATGTGCAATAAAATCTGTATTTTTGAAACTCAGGTCCCATTTTCTCTATTCTAGGGATACAGTTGTGTGTGTGTGCTTTGGGCAGGATGGGTGTTTTAGCTACCCTGAGTTGTAAAGGTGAGGCAGGTAACCAGCAGGTGGCTATTTCAATTAGATTTTCTTACACTGTAATGGCTGGTCACTTTCAGCTTTTTTTTTTTGGTTTTTTTTCTCCAGTACTGGGAATCAAACTCACAACCTTGCGCTTGCCAGGCAGGCGCTGTGCCCCTGAGCTAAATCCCCAGCCCCCACTTTCGTCTTAGAGTAGTTACTACTCTGAGGGACCATCAGATTTCCAGAAATTATTATTATTTTTTTTTTGGTTTTTCTCCGGTACCAGGAACCGAACTCACGACCTTGCGCTTGCCAGGCAGGCGCTTTGCCGCTGAGCTAAATCCCCAGCCCCTCCAGAAATTATTTTTCTATGAACTTTCTGATGTTGGCACCCATCATTACTTGTTAGAATTGAGAAGAACCATCCCTTAGTTTGTTTGTAGCAGTGGAATGAGTGGGATGGAGATAATTTGGAATCAAAGCATAATTCTTCCAAATGATTTAAATTTGTTCTTGCTCTTATGAATTAAAGTAAGTAGGCTTTTTCTTTATTTTTTGTAGTACTAGTGATTGAAACAGCACCTTCATGGTTTATATTTTTCCAGGGTCTCGCTAAGTTACTGTGTTGCCCAGTCTACCTTGTACTTATGATAGAACCCTTTTGCCTCAGCCTCCCAGAGTGCTGGGATTGTAAGTGTGCAGCACCATACTTG